TATGCTGTCCTTGGTGACAGAGGGAGCCATTGCATCGACCACGCATGCCACGAATTTCCCGCCAGATGACGAAACTGTGACATGTTAAGGACCGGAACTTATTTTGGGTCTACCGCCCGGAAGTTACGTATCACTTTCCAGTATCTTTATGCTTAGTACCGCTGACTCCTTGATTTTTCGTTGTGGACTCACCCTCCCTCTGCGCCCGTGGAAAACTGTCTCCCATGTGGTAGATGGATCATAACATAAACTCTTCTCGCATGCTAAAAAAGGTTGACACAAGCTCATCAGAGCCGGTTCCCGGAATTTTTTATTGGGGGGGTCCAAACTTGAGTTCAGAAAGGACTGTTGGACTCTTTGAGGCAAATTACCTCTCCCCCACACCCCCTCCTACCAGTCGCGGTTGCATGTTACAATTATTTGGCCGCTTATCGTTTACTCGGATTCATTAAAAAAATTAGCCAGTTAAAAGTGATATACGATCCTGTCTCAAATTTGTAAGCGTCAGGTTTGATAAGGGGGTCCGGACCCCCCGGACACTCCCCCTGGATCCGCCACTGCTCATATTGTCATTGATGGAGGAGTTTTAAGTGAAAGGGGGGGAGAGATAAGGTGGAGGGGAAGGCAAATGTATATCTGGCCTATATACTTTGAAAGAGCAGTTGGAACTAAGTTTGTTATTGGAGTAAGAAGAAGAATCCTAAATTCACTATTATTAATAAATACAGTAGATAAACCCAATGCGCAATGCGGCTTCTTTCGCGCTCAATAAGCCAAACCGTGCTACAGTCCAAAGAGACTGGATCCGCCTTTTGAAAAGACGAGATAGTACTGGAATCCAGTACTTAACAAAATGGCGGATAATTTAAGCGAAGCACCTATTTGGTGTGATGTTGGGAAGAACTTCAGTGCTGCTTATTCGGTAGTTAGTTTCCGACATACTGCGAGAAGGAAATACACTCGTGATGGTGATTCAATAAAAGAGGTTAAAATCTGCCCCCAACGTTTGGAGATCAACAGCCACGAAGATACGGTTGACAAGGTACATGCACGCGAGGATAGCGTTGCTGTGCATTTTCCAGGTTAGTGTTTGCTTGTCTATAAGAAAATAATTTGAATATACCAACAAAGTTGAAATGGTAAATTGGCCACCGTTACGGTTATAAAAGCTGACGTTTCGAGCGTTAGCCCTTCGTCATTCCCTCCGACGAAGGGCTAACGTTCGAAACGTCAGCTTTTGTAATCGTTACGGTGGCCAATTTACCATTTCAACTTTGTTGATATATTCAAATTATTTCGTTACCCCCACCGACGCAGCCCCAAACAGTTTCTTTAGAAACTATCAGCCTTTATAAGAAAATATATTGCAAACCTGTTCTAGGGTTTGTATTCATTGTATTTAGCAATTTCCCAAAGGTAGGTAAATTTACAATAGGACAAGGTTGTCCCCTTCTAGGTAAATTACCTTTCCCTATCCCCAACCCCAATTTCAGTAAACAGGCCAGACCACAATACCAGGAGCCACGTTCCCTACTCTTTGCGGTACAGTAAAAACCCGGATACAAGAACACTCATTTTCGGGGTTCAGGCTGATTGGGTTCTTATATAATTTTATGGGGTATTTTAGGTGAAATCAGCCTGAAAGTGTTCTCAAGACTGTTTTCTTTACATCTAAAAATCTGTAAGGGATTTACTAACTATGATCAATTACATAACTTTGAGAGAATATTAAACTTGAGACACACAACATTAGAAAATAAAGGATGTGACTGACACTTTGACAAATGGTGACATTCATTTTATTGCATATTTTTCATGGAATTATAAGACTTTTTAATTCCAAATACAGTTGTTTGTACATTTGCTGTACACAACAAGTGAAATTACTGGCATTTATACAGAAATCTTAGTGCAATACCACAGTAAAGCTACAGACACTGTTTGTTCTATTAAACTGAAAAGGGAAGAGTTTTTATAATTATATAAAAACAATTTTCAATATTCAGGCTGAAATATATGTTCTTGTATATATGCTCCTTTTTTACCAAATTTCAGCGTGGGTGATCTTAATTAATCCACCTCTTCTTGTATGTCGGTTTTTACTGTCGGTGTTTGGGTTCTTTAACGTCCCCTGTTAACCAGTACAGAAAAGATGCAGGAGAGTGGGCCTCCGATTTTTTTGTCCCTATCCGAGAAGACTAGAATGTCTATCCATTTCTTGATCTAATAGAAAGGTAGCACATTCTCCTCAGTTATTTTAAGACCCTAATTGTTGGCCCAGTCTCGGACTTGAACCCTCAACCTCCGGCCACACGGCAGTCCAGCACTCTACCACTTGAGCTAACCAGGCAGTGGTTAACTGGACAATAAAACTTCTGCAGTTAGATTTGGTGTGCGATTCATTTGCTCATAGAAACATGGTCCATTTCGAATTGTTGCACCTCAACAATTGTTGGTTTTCGATTAAATTACAGGGCTGGGGGAATTATGCACCATTTTATGAGAAATTATGCATCATTTTTTTCTGTGATTATGCACCAAATTTAGCATATTATGCACAAATTATGCAAGTTGTGCAATATTAAAAGTATATATTGAATTTTACATATATTTTAAATTTATCTGTAAGTCCATATTAAGAAAACCTAATTATTAATAATTATTTGCCAGGATATTGCTTAGCTCTCTCATTGGCCGTTATATTGTAATTTTTTTTCTTTGGTTTGAAAAAACTTTCCATTTTAAACACAAAAAGAACAGAAAAGAAATTTTCTGGAATAAATTTACCAGAATGGCACCATTTTTCTGTCGGAAGCATTGATTGGTTCTTTTTCCTCCAATCATATTGCTTGTAAGTCAACAATTAGAGCCCAGGTCTCCAGCAGCAAAAGTCAAGAGGCCTGTTCAATTTTACCTGTTTTCCTGCGTGTTTGACACGATCTTTTCAACTAAAAATACAGTTTTTGCCATCAAAACTCACTTAACAATTTGAAAAAACTATTTTAAAAGTTTTGAAAAAACTATTTTAAAAAGTTTTGAAGGTAGGAAAATTTATCTTTTAGGACATACTTTTTTTTAAAATATCGAGAATTATGCGGAAATGATGCAATTTTTACAGAATTATGCGAATTATGTGTTTGAGCTAAAATTAGCCCAGAAATTAAGATGAAATGACAAAATTGTTTGACCATAAGCGTAGAAGATGTGTCATCTGTAAAGTTTAAATAGCTCTAAAAACTTAACATTTCTATGAAAATTGATATGCTACACTTACTTTCTGAGTCCCTTCCCCTTTTTGCAATAATTATGCTTCTGCATCTTAGCTTTCATTTGATGTAAGTTTCACACAAGATGCTGCACATAATGTTTAAGTCAAAGTATCACCAGTGCTTGACTTTGAATGGTGGTGAGTTTGTTGTGGTGGCAAATTGACCTGATACCATCTTGGGAGATGAAGTTGTAGCTTTGGCTTGGGCAGGACAATTTGGAGACTTTGGGCTGCTCCCTTGCTGTATGTCAGCAGTCCCCTCTCTGTGTTTTTGGTAGGATTCAAAAGAAGGATGAAGATGAACCAATACAGTTTGGCTCTAGCACAGCTATTGGAGTCACCAGAAGATTAAAACAGTCTGCCATCCACCTGTCATAGGAACCTCTCACTTTCTATTTGGACCCACCCCTTTAGTCTTTTCATTCCCAAGGGAACACACAAGGCTAGATATTCTAATTCTTACACCAGGAAAAATGCAAATTATTCCTAGTTTGAAATCAAGTGTAACTAAACTCCACCTTAACTAACAACATGCACTATGAATAGATTTTTTTAGGGTGATACCCAGGAGTGTCAGTGGCCTTTCAACATGTGGAGAAAATGAGATTCAAATGAGGCTTGGATTTGAACATCAAACATCTCAGGAATCACAAGAGGAATTTACTAAGAGAATTTTGAAGGAGGAATTAAGTGAATTGAGGAAGGGTTTCCACAGTGTTTGTTGCCGCATGTGTGGTGCATCCATTCTATCTGCAGAAATGTAAGCTTTATTTGACTTTTGCTCCAGGTATTGACAGATATCATTCAAGTTTTGCAGACATGACTCAGTGATACACAGATTGCAAATCATGATTAAGAGTTAAACACAATGAAAGCTTGACGTACACTATAGATTAAGCCATATATTAAGATGTGAAACATGGATTGCAGTACACTAACTTGCTCCAAAGTAAAATTTTAACTTTCCTCCTTAAAAATTTAATCCTTATGTTCAGTTGTCTTAATGCAATGCCCCCACCCCCTTCAATTGAAGATGAGTTCTGTTATTGATAGTGTTAAGCATGTGACCTCATAATGAAAACATTGGACTGCCCACATAGAAATTGGAACCAGTATTGAGCATCAAGAATCTTGCTGATAACTGATACATAAGTGCATATAATTTCCTTTTGCAGCTTCTGTAAAGCCCTTTATTAAATATCTCTCAGCCAGTAATTGTGCACCATATATATCTTATTAACCAAGCGCGAGGGCCGTACTGGATGAATATCGGCCTGAGGTCTTGACAGTATGGACCGAGTGCAGCAAGGTCCGTACAAAAAAGACTGAGGGCCAATATTCTTCCAGTGCAGTCCAGAGCAAGCTCGGTTAATAAGAGATTTATTATACGACTGAAGATTAAAGGGACACAGGTGCAATATCATTGGAAACCATTCGGGACAGTGGCCGGTCCAATACTTGGAGAATATTGGACCGGCAATAGAGCATTTTGGGTTGATTTTAGTTATTGGCCCTCTGACTGCCCGAGTTGTTTAATAAGATTGGTTATTGTACAAGTGTAGTAGGTCATATTTCACTGTAAAATTCTATTTCAAGATTTTGTTTGAATTGAAACCTTCCCAATTTGAACTCCAGAGATCAATCATTTATCTAATTATTAAACTAATTTGTTGCACTTCATACCATAAGATAAAGATCCTATTTTTTTCTGCTGGGACTTATGGCCAGCTTGCTTTGTGCTTGAGCCAATCAGAGCCAAGCAGAAAAAAAACCTGGTCTGTAATTTACAGTATAGACCTTGAACTCTTTTGGTAAGAGGTATGCGCTTTGGCAACTTTGAAACTAAATATCTGTTCAATAGGTTCAGGACAAAGGGTTTTAATCCTGGTTTCACCTGCATAAAGTGACTCAGAAAGTATTGCTTCTCTCCCCTAGATTGGAAGTTAGTCTATTCCAAAGTTATTCCTAAGCAATTCATCAGATTTCCTTCAACATTTGCCTGCCCCCATTTATACTCCTTTGTGGCGAGTTGCACAATGTGTTAATCAATAAGTCTCAGGGTTTACGATTTTTTTCCAATTTAGTAATTACCAATTTTAATATTTGTTTATCAAGACAGTTTGACAGAGTTCTTGAGCTGCCTTCTGAAAACTGGCTTGAACTTGCTCAGGACTGGTGTTGCCATGGAACAAGTCATCTGATATCTGCTACAGGGGTTCTTGAACCAAGCGAAAAGGACTGCTTTGTGGGAGAATACTACATCAAAGTGCATCCCTCAATTGTAAAGCCAGGGAGGCTGCAGATTTCACCAGTAAGGACAGATGAAATTCATATTTCTATGGTGTTTGATACTTTTCTTGCAATAAAACAGCAACATGGTCAGTGGCCAGGAGAAGATTAACTGTTATCAAGTAATGTAGAAATTTGAAACTGACAGGTTTTTTTTTTTAAGGGCAATGAAGATCAATTTATAAAGTGTTGCCGATGTAAGACCACTCTTGGATATGTTGGTGTAGATTCTGTGGTGATGGACTTTAGTGATGTAGTATCCAGCATTTATCTTTACAAGCATGCAGTTAGCCTACCATTCTCTAACTTGTTCAGGTATAGTGTTTTCCAAACTTTTTATTAGGCTTGTTAAGTCATAATTCATGTATCCATTGGGTCAGACCTGATTAACTCTGAAAAATTCTGAAGACTTAACAGTTGAGACCACGACTGACTCAGACGACAAATAATATAATTCTAGCTAGAACTTGTCTTGATGGTTGACAATGTGGTTGATAAACAGCATGGCTCGACACTAACTTTTCAAATTACTAGCCAAGTGCCTGGCAGCAGGCTCGTTACATCTTAAATGTTACGACAATTTCAGTTTGTTTACTAGCCAAACTGGCTTGTGGAAATCAAAAACCACTAGCCAAAACTGAATTTCCACTAGTCTGAGGTGAGTGGGCTACCGTTAGCATTGAGCCCTGAAACAGAGAGCTACAAGCACTGAATGACCACCTACATGTACATTAACCTATGAATGAGGGAGCAAACTTTCAATTATTGCATTAAACTAGGGCCTTGAACTCCCAAGATCTGCTTGTTAATTCTCCCCTCTAGCTGCTACACATTTCCTTGTAAGTAAGTTATGAGAACTTGGTGTTTCATCAAGATAATTACTTCTGCCAGATACTTCGAGTATTCTCATTACCTGTTTGCTGGATAATGTGTGGATATTATAGGGAGAAGTTACATGTTTATCACTTCCAAGAGTTTAAGGGTTGAATGAACAAATATGAAACCTGAATAAAGTGAGTTAGTATCTAAAGAAACTGTGTTGCTGCATTGGTGGGGGTAACAAGGTAATTTGGTAATATCAACTAAGTTGAAATTGTAAATTGGCCACCGTAAAGAGTTAAAAAGCTGACATTTCAAGCATTAGCCCTTCGTTATTCACTCTGACGAAGGGCTAATGCTCGACTCTTTACGGTGGCCAATTTACAATTTCAATTTAGTTGATATTACCGAAAAAAAAAAAAAAAAAATGTAACCTGTTATTTTCAAGAGTGATTGTTTACAGAAGTGTGAACAATCATGTAATTTTTCCAAAGCTCACATATTATATGTAGAGTACGCTGTTGATGAACAGTTAACCAGGATTAAATACATTTATTTAGTAACAAGTACTTAACACTTCAATAAAACGACACAGGGATTGCAATTAATCTCTGTGGCTCTCATAAGTGAAAATGAATGTTTATTTCAATTGATCCTGCCATAAATCAAGGCAATTTAAGATAATGTAAATGAATGCTAAAACCACTGGAGCATCCAGTAACATGCAGTGGCATTGTTAGTGAATGGCATCACTCTTTAGAACTTATATGTTTTTTCTGTGGTAAAGAACTTCCATTCCCATTTCAAATTTGTGATACCCTACTCTTAACTTTTTTTCCCAGGGCATATTGCATTGAAACGTTTCTTTCAATTTGTTTGACTTCCAAATCACAAGGTACTACAAACTTTCGATTTTTAATCCAAGAACCCAAAGAGAATGGTAGGAGACAAGCACATGCCTGTGTAAGTCCTGACTATATTGTTCTCCATCACCAGTACATGAAAACGAGGCAGAGTGTGTTATATGTGGGTAATCTCAACCTATGTATTGATCCAGAGTCGGTCAATACTCAACCGAAATGTTGTTCGACACTGGGTCAACACTCTTTCGATAGTCGGTTGATAGTCGGACGACAACCAGGCAATACTCAGGGGACCTAACATTTGAACTCTTTATCCTCCAAGAGTAGCGCCTTATGGTATCACTGCTGATTCAAACTTTGAGGCCGTGAGAATTAACAGAAATGATTTGCCAACTAAAGGAGCACTGGACTGTTATACAAATTCACCCAGTTGGTACCACAGGAACGGTATTGAGAATAGTATGGAGAATATGTACACTGATGTATGGGTGTTCAGGGTTAAAGTAGAAAACTGAGTTAGGTGCTCCGTACTAACATTTTATTTGAATGCATAGTAACAGTGTCTTCATTGCCAATATAAAGCCAAATACGGTATACTTCCTTTGCAATAAGTGTATATTATACATTTTGACATACCCAAGAGGGTGTACTCTGTAAGATGTGCGTCAAAGCACCTCAGCTAGCTGAGGCTTCATTTGATAAGTCGAAACTCCTTCGTGCCTGGGGAGTGAAATTAAATTGTTGGACTGGGGTGTTAGGATGGCCTGATCGTCTGGGTTTTGATATTTTCTGCTTCAACAGGGTCAGATGCTAAGCAGCAGTCAGCAGTCAGCAGTCAGCATATTGATATCCCATTCCTTTAAAAAAATTTTTTTTTCAGGTTTGGCTTTTTAATGCTGATGCTGCAATGATAACGAATATTGAGTCTGAAACTTTATATACTTGCTACAGTGAAGGTGGCCTTTATTCCGTCAGTAACAAAGGTATTGAGTTTCTTTTCAACGTACCGGTATTTTTTTGTCTTAAGGCCACATTTTATGAAGATTTTTTGTCCTCACCAATGCAGCTGTTGAGTATGCAATTTCTTTGTTGCTCTCTCTTCACAGCCAGATATCTGCGGGTATTGAAGATTCTTTACAAAACTAAGCCACTCCTCGGCACTCTTTGGTAAGTTTATATGTTATCTTTGCTCATTAGATATAAGGGTTCTCTCTCTGAGGACAGCTGAAAAGAAGATCCCGCCGGGAATTGATTATCTTACAGTATGTTCTTTAATATCTTTAATTGACAGGGAAGACGAGGTAGCTTCTTGGCGGAACAACCCCACAGTCCAGCCGTTAACCTTTCAAAAGGAAACTTGTCTGCATCTTATTCTTCTGCTTATGAAGAGCACAACGACAGTAGCACCAAGCATGCGAGAAATAAATGGATTCAAGGTAGTCTTTAGGACCGTTCCCAGAGAAGTCGCCTTCGATGGGAGCTTTAGACCATGAATCTGGATCCTATATTTTTCAAACTACCTTTCTCAGAATGTCGTCTTTGATAACATTTCATTTCCATGAGGTTTAATCGATCAGTCTTTGTACGTACGTTTTCGTATAGAACAGAAGGGGCCAGATATTTAGTTTACATTTCTTGGAAGTTTAGATACCACCGAAATACTTAAAGAAAAAGTATGCTCCGAAGATTATGTTCTTTTTATCTTCACCAAGCAACCAAATCGAGTAACCTAATCGATCAGAAGTTGTTTTCTTGGACAATAAATCAAGAGGGCTCTGTTTTGGAGCTCCAAAGTGTTCAAACAGAAAGCTAAGGGAGAGGAAAAGGAAGGGTGCATGTTGGTGACGTCGCTGAAAAGCGGCAAGGTGGCTAAGCTAGACTCCAAATGGCGGCATCTGCATTCGAGTTTAAACAGCTTTCATGAAAATTTTCGAAAAGTTTAATTACTTTAAGGAATCTCGAAATACAGTCAACCCCGTATTTTATTCATACTTGTGAATCACGGAAATAAAATTGTTGTTTCTTTAGCATACTTCTCCTCCAATCTTCAAATAGCAAGGAGTATCACTGCAAAAATTAACGTAGAAACTCGGAATGCAAGTCATTCCTTTTTCTTAGCTCACGACGTTGACTGAGATTATAAAAAAATCTTCAGTTATGTTAAAAATTGGGCTGGAAGATTGCCTCTCAACATCATGGAATTGTACTTGATTAAAGAAAGTTTCAGAGCCACCAGCTGGGATCAAATTCAGTGGCTGACTTGGATCAGTTTCTTGTTTTTGTGTTGTTTTTGTTTTGTTTCTTTTTGATTTATTGTTCTTTTCATCTGTATTGTTATGTTTTTTTAATAAAAATTTAAGCAATGGATTCTGCTTAGATTAATTATCATTTCTCTTAACATAATATAAAGCTAAGGATTAGTTTGAATTAGGGTCCATTGCTTTTTCCTAGGTTGGATATCTCAAGACATTGAACAATTGAATTTCCGCTAGTGGAGCTTGACTGGTAAGCTATGATCTTAAAGGGGAAGAAACTTGAAATATCATATCGTAAAACAGTTTGTGGTTATTCGTTGTGGTAAATAACGCTTCAAAAGAAAAATGTTATCGTTTCTCTCATGATGTGGTTACTTTGGATGTGGATCGCGACGTTTCGACTGCAAGCTACTCGCAAACATCATTGTGCCGATAAATCGCCTGAGCGACAGGTGGGCGATGGCTTCTCCTTGCTCTACGATGAGTTGCTCTAGCGATATTTCGTAAGAGTGATATTAATATAAGGCGTTGTGATTATGAGTCACCTGTCGTGTGCTCTCCGTTATACCGTTGTTGTTTCGTTAGAACGGTAACATTTCACTAACGCCTCAGGTCGTTTCATTTTCCTCTCATTGGTCGCTTCCCTGACGTATTACAAAACGTTCAGTGATTCTATTGGCAGAACTTCATCGACTTCTGATCGACAATTGTGATTATTCGTTGCGTGCTCTCCGGTAAACCGTTATTGCGTTATTTTGCCAAAACCAGTAATTGGTCGTTTCGCTAACGTTATAGAACCTTACGCCAACGTCTCAGGTCGTTTCACTTACGGCATGGGTCGCTTCGTTAACGCATTACAAAACGTGTAGTGATTCCATCGGCAGAACCTTATTGACTTCTAATCGACCCAATAGCCGTAGGGGAGGTAGTTATTTTCAATACAAACTGGAAGTCGATTCCACATAAGTCAATTCTAGACAAACTGAGATTGGGGATATCTCGGAAAAACAAAGGACCACATATTCAGCTATTATTGTTTGCGTTACTTTTGCATAGTACTGCAGTGATATTTTTTAAATTGTGATAGTAGTTCGACAATTTCCAAAAACTGTTTTTATTGGTAATGAAATAAATTAAAGTAAGGGTTTTTTTTTTGACAAAATCAGTGATGTTTACGAGTCTTCTTTGCCTCGTCATTACTTGCTGGACTTCCCGCTAGACATGGTGAATCCTTAATCTGTGGAAAGGTAACGTGTGTCAGGAATGTGAAACCTAAAAAATATTAGATACTCAAAAACTGAAATAGACGATTACATTAATGTTGATTAATTAGCAAAAAATGAATAAATAAGCAACATTTCCGGGGAAATTATCAGTGGTGGGAACGAGAACATAGTGAAGACCAGTTTGATCTTTAAGTTTATGGTCACCAGGGAAAAAAACTACTTCAATGGCCTCAAATGTTCATGCACAAATATCAGCGGAAACTAACGTTTCGGAAGTGTGTGAAGGGACATGTTAGTCACTCAATTACCCTGCTTTACAACTTTAGATAAAGTGACTTAAAAACTTAATATTTCATTTATCGATCTGTAAACTTATGCAATAATTCAAAACCAAGAAAGCCTTTATAGGTAAGTTAGAGGAGGAAAGGGCTGCATATATTCATTTTAATGCGGTGTAAGTTTAGGCTTAGATATCCCATATTATCTTTCCTTGTGTGTGTTCTTTCCACGAAATTTTCGTGATTCAGAATAAACCTAGTATAAAAGTATGATTTGCATTATTTTGTTTTAAATTTGAACGAGAAAAGGTTTAATTTGGCAAGTCAATCAATTTCCCATGCATTTTTTATTATAAAGACACCTACGAGGCAAAATGCCCGTACCGCCAGAGCTCACGCCAATTTCTACCCCCTGGATGGGATCCTAATTTGTCGTACTTTCCAGCCCCCAGCTTGGTCTCCTTAACGGTCTGCCGGAATTCGTGTAAGAGGCGCTGTAAAGTTCCCCGAGGATCCGAAGTTCATCCTATGGACCACCTAGCCCATTTCCATAAGAAGCCGGAACGCCAGCCATTTGAGTTAAGTCCCACCAGCATTCGAACAAATTTACCTGCTTCATCCTGCTTTATAACTTGAGATAAACCGATTTGAAAGCTTCTTATTAAGGTAGCGATCTGTTTGGTGATACTAGTATTCCAAGCCAAGACATCCTTCAAACTTATTTTGTTTTAAGTCTTACTTATTTACCTTAAATTCCAAACTTGGAGTCATGAGGCAGCACACCCGGTCCTTCCATTTTGGGGTCCTGTAGCTACCTGGTGCACATTGGCCGTCATCGTCAAGTTTGATGAAATTGTTGGGGCACTCTCCATTTTCTGCAACAAGACAAGCTGCCCAATCTGTGTCGGCGATGGAAGAGCTGCACTTACAGTTCACCTGGTGATCTGAATGAATTCAAAAGTGGACATGTTATAACAATTAAGATTGAATAGTAGATAGAGATTATGTAATAATGAATCCAGGTTGTTTGCTGGGCCGCTTAACTCCTAGAAGTGATCATTTAAACAAAGTTAAGCGGTTGGTTGTTTAATCAAACCGCGTCCTAAATAATCCCCAGTTTAGCCGAACCCTTCATCTGAACATTTAGCTTTTGTTAACAGTGTAACAAGGGCTAAAAGCTAACAACGGAATGACATTTATTTTATTAGATAAACCCTCTTAGGGAGAAAGCCTGAAGCCGACTGCCTGCGTAAAACCGTGGTTTGGGTTGGAGTTTGTGTAACTAACGAGCCCTTACAGTGTCGTTTTGTTTCGGCGAACCGCAGTAAGAGTTGTGTTTTCCTATGCCACATAAAATCTAATTAGTTTCCGTCAGTAAGATTCACCAGCCTTGATGTCTCGTCGCATTTATTCCGAACCCTAATCAGAACATTTGAATAAAAACGATGCAGTCTATCTATTTCCCTCTTGTTGTTCGCCGTAAAGGGTCGTCAAATAATGTTAAACTCAGGATTGTTCTTACCAGAGAGAAATGCAGCGACAAGAAGCAAAAGAGAAGTTAATTGGAGACAGGTATTCATCTTTATGTCCGCTGAAGGCTAAAGTTGAAAAGCGAAGAAAGTAAAATATTAAGCAATTTGCTTCGACTGTGAAAGGAAAAATGAAAAAGCGTACTCTCTAAAATTTCTACCTGACGACAAATACTTTCAAAACGCCGCTTAGCAAAATTCTTAGAGACGTTTCTGTCAATATAATCCCGTTAAAAGGCAAGATTGTTTCCCCTGTTACCTTTTTACAAAATGTACAGTTAATCTAAATGAACCCCTACAAATTTGGCGATATGTATTCGATCAAACCTTTTTAAAATCCCAGCTGTTGACTGGATTATCAGAGGCAGATGAAATGACAAAATTTTTTGTCAATTTTTTCAAGGACACGTTTGACTGCAACAAAACTTACCGAACAAAAGAACAAGTGGAGAAATATTCACGAAAATTATACACTCACCTTTTGTTTTCTTTACAAGAGAACGTTGAAACTAATTGTTAGTTTAGTGGTTTACCAAACAACTACAAGTAATAATATTGAGTAATTACCTGAACGCAGTTGTTACCTCAGATATCTAATTAAATTTGCTGACAGAATATTAGGTAATAATTACTCAATCTCATGGCGAGAACCATGACAGAGGGTAAAGCAAAGTTCACCGGTACCAGAAATTCAAAATTGCTTTTTCTCCTAAATTAGAAACCGCGTTATTGTGGATGAAGACACGATAATCAAAGGTATGTCGAATGGACTTCCTTAGTTGTGTTTTTTACGGCAAATTTGCATGAAAATGTGAGCTCGAATATGGAATCCATTCACTATCGGTCACAAGCTGCAAACATTTGGTATTGTAACTAATTTGAAACGGTTTGAAGCGTTACTGAAGGTTGTTTTTAAGTTTTCTTTTTACGTTTTTGCCCATGAAAAGGGCTTGGACACATGTTGCAAAAAAAAGTTTGGTTCTCCAATTCTTTTTTTTTGTGTGTTGCCACAAGTCAAGATTGATTTTTGGGTAGACCACTTGTGTGGACAGCGATCGAAGTTGTAAAATTTCACTGATTTTGTTCAGTGCGCTGCAGTTATATAGCTCACGGAATGCTCCCTGGCTACAAATTACAAGATGTATTCAGTAAGTTCACACAAAGCATGGAAACTTCAACTGAAATATTTTTCAAGCCGGTGTGATCAGGGTAGACCCTTCTCTTCGACCTTAATTTGCATATCAAAATTTCACCAATTCCTAAGAAATAAATTCTCGAAATGCAGGCGTATATCAGGACTATCAGTGCGTAGTTTAGACACCAGTAAGGCCACCGATTGCCTGAAACCCGATTCTATAAAACGTTAACCTCATTCTATAACTCGTTACATTTACTGGTCTTTGTTTTCACTTTTTTAATACCCGCAAAACAAGTCATACAAGAAGGGAACAAATTAGTATGGTAACGTCATGGGATACAAAAGCCTGGTTTGTCTAGTTCTTTTGATGGTCGCAGGGAAATGTTTTGTTTGTCGCTCAAGAATGTTGTGGTCCATAATAGCATAAAATCATTAATGATGGAAACAAATTGCAGATGGGATGGCCTGTCCATTGCGTTCCTTGTGCTAAATCTCCGAAGAAACTGCAGGAGTTAATGCCGGGTGTATGCTCGTTGTTTTGTAAATAATACCGTAATGTATTTGAACTTGTTTTTGCGTCCCTTAAGAGACGCACTACGTTTGTAATGACGACAGTGCCAAATTTTATTCTTAAATTGGATCTTCGCCACACTGTGCGTGTTAATGACCAGATTAAGCAAAGGGTAGAGCAAAGTTCACCGGTACCAGAAATAATGAAATATTGCTTTTTCCCCTAAACAAGAAACCGCGTTATTGTAAATGAGGACACGATAAGCAAAGGTATGGATTTGAAACAGTTCGAAGCGTTCCCAGTTAAGATTGTCCTTTTAAATAAGATGATCATCTGGAGATTTTTTTTGCTCAAATAGTTTGCACCAACCTCGTTTCTTGTCTCAGCCAGTCAGTTTCGGTATACTCATCGCACGAGCAGTCGTGAATCATAATAATAAGGTGAAATGTTGGTAACATCTAACGTTATTGGGAAAAAAGTTCTACTATCCCACTGCCGATGGTACAGAAATTGATGAAATATTTCATGGGAAGCTACAGTTGCTACCGAATCAATGTCCAATTTTATTTGTTGTTTCCTCCTCGAAAATGTTATTAAATATAAATAATGATAAAAAAAAAGCCATAACTGACGACAGTGCAGTTCCGTGAACATGAGCATCAAAAGATCCACTGAGCCATGTAAGACATATAATAGTAAACGTCACAATGGACTCCTATTCATTTCTTATCTTGCTTACGAGGAGAGCTTGTCTAACAATCAAGAGCTTCTTGAGTTCACGGTCATTTTGTTTATTCTCGTGACCTCATTGTTAGATTCAGGATGATACCTTTGGGAAAGTTTGAATAGTTATTACTCTTTAGGGTTAAATGGTTGCGACCAAAAAGGAAACACGGTTTTCGTAATTGTGATTGTCTTTGATGGAGTGCTTTTCATGCATCAGTTGTTATCTTTAATTAAAATTAAATAAGTTCTGTAAGTTCGTACTGTATGGTATTATCACTTAGCATTTGGGGAAACATATGGAAATCCCTATTTAAAGCACTCATATCCTATGTTCTGGAATTTTAATACACTGTTAAGAAATTCTGTGGACACAATATTATTTCATGTTTTGGTGCAGGATGATTTTATTTCTCAGGGCTCGAAAATTCACGCGTTCCCTTATTTTTTAAAGCGTTGTATAAATTCTTTTTCTTTTCCTCTGGAAAGTCGAGATATAAAAGCTCTTCTCCTCGCCTTCTTTTTTTCATTTTGTTGGTTTATAATTCCAGCCAAACCGAACTTGAAAAGCTGAGGTTTAAAACCTCTTTTCCTCGCCTTATTTCATTTTGTTGCTTCATTGGATTATAAAATTCTAGTCAAACCGATTACTTGTCGGAAATAAAAGGTACCTGCATCACGAAAATGTCAGAAAAAACTAATCTACGAATATAATGATAATGAACCAGTCGTCAAATTAAAACAAAACATAACAATAACACAATACAAAATATAGACAGTCTTAAATAAAGATGAAAAACGAGTAAATAAATAAAAGGAAGGTAAGATAATGGGACCGAGAGGTTCACTGAATTTAATTCCAAAACATACGACTTAAATGGCTCGTTGAATGCAATAAGGCCGATCTTTCAAGATAGGATGCGGTAAATTTAAACTGACTTTCCTTTTGAGGCAAAGCTTACATAACATAATTCACGAGAAACTCTTTTATTTTCTTAGGGTAAATTAAAATGTAGATATCGGTTCGAACAGAACACAGGAGAAAGTATGAATAATTTAATAGTCATCAGACAAGTTTAGCTGTGTGATTTGCGAAGAGTCGTTCTCATTATATATTTTTTTTTATGCAATGGACGTAACAATTAACCGCAAGACGGTTTTTTTCCCTTCAAATTCCTCTTGCATTTAATTAACCTTCTAACTCTCAGGGTTACTGGTTTCTGATTTCTCCTTGCAGTATCACTCTTGGATCGAATGTAAAGATCGTGAGAATAAAGGACACAATCACTAATTGAAAGAACTCTTAATAGTCATACAATTTTTCTTCGTCAGTACCATAGAAAATGTCAAGAAAAAAGCGAGGAGAATATGAGTACTAATGCAACAAGCGATCAGTTAATTGTTCTTTTTTTCCAAAATTGCTGTTCTCTTTTTTTGTTTCTCGATGTTAAGTCCATTGTACTTTATTTTGCAGTGAGACTATCAGTCCAACGCAAGCGATGTTCGCTGTCAGCTGCGGCATCGTTTTTCTTGCGATTCTCCTTGGTGTGAAAGGAACAGAAAAAGATCCTCAGTGGGCGAGAAAACTGCAAGAGGTTCTTCAAGCTCGGGAAGAAATTGTGTCAGCATTTGAAAAGTACAAGGAAGAGGGAAATGCTGCACAGGCTGAAAAACTTATCAGTACCCTGGAGCAGTTGCCGTCTCGTCTGAAAGGGATTGACAACCTCAATATAGCTGCCATAGAAGAGGACAGAAATCTGCTCGGAAATCTGAAGAAAGTTCTAGACGAGCCAGTGATTCCTCCTGTATCAAAGTTTTTTAAAAGCAAGACCCTTCAGACAAATTATCGTGACCGTGGATTAGGTTTCATCCTGAAAACACTACGTGCCCACTACGACTATCATTGCATCGCCACTCTTCTCGGTCCATCCCCAAGTCAACCAACCAATGTGGCTATACCAATAGAAACCCTGTGTTCTCGAGTAAAAGAAGACCTTGATAAGCAAGATGCTTACGTCTTTTCTAGCGAAAAGATCTGTAAGAACGTCAAATCCTGCTCTGGATCCGAAACTCCTCATCCTTATGGTGACTCCGATGGCACTAATGTGCAAGATGCATGTGCTGACGGCAACAAATGTAATGTTGCAACCGCCATCCCTATGATGGGAGCGTTGCTGTGGTACAAAACTAGCTCTTTCATAGCACGCAGCTTTTGTAGCAATTCTCTGAGTAGACCCGACAAGTCATCTTTGGAAGCAGATCTCAAAGCGATTGAGAGAATGGGACAACTAATTTTGGGATATAGCAGCACCCTTTACTGGAATGATTTCTTTCAAAAAGCAGTTAGAGTACGGGCTTTTTCAAGTCTGCCAGATGCTATGGCACTCGTGGAGGAGAGAAAAAATGCCATATCTTATGTCTCTCTGGCCTGCATTGATTTACAAGCAGAAGATATGTGTACCGTCGGAAGCATTTCAAAACTGTTCCAATCATTAAAGAAAATCAAACTGGACCGAGGCAATCCTCCTGCCACCCGTAACTTGCGTTTGTATTCCAGGATTGACAACCAAGAAATGATAAGTCTACAGACTCAGACTTTGCAGCATATTGAGCTCTTAGGAAATATCCGAAGCTTAGACGAAAATTTGCAAACCGCTGTGAAAGGCATTTCCGGGTATTTCAAAGGCCTTGCAGAGTACGACCAGGGTATTGCCCAAGCGGACGTTACGTTCCTGAGTGATAAATTGAAGGAGTTTGACACCAGAGCTGGAACTCTCTCTGAGAAGCTGGATAAAGATGTAAAAGATGCTATGAAAGCTTTGATAACTGCCCAGGCCCTTCAAATAGCGGAAGAAAGTCTTATTCTGGGACTTAAGATCGCAGAGCATGCCAATCCCTTGAAGGTAATCTTTGGCGGAGTAGAAGCAGGCGATATCTATGAGCAAACAGCAGAGGTCGCAAGGGCCATTGCGGAACCAGCAAGAGGTATTGCCTTAATGGTTAATCTTGCCAGTGTGTAACACGACATGTCAAGATTAGCTAAAGACTTTCAAGATAACGCAGCTCAGATTTCAAATCTCAACGACATGGTCGAAGCAATTAAGAAGAACAAGATTGACGACATTGGTTTTGATGCAGACAGGTTTATAAAAGGCTATGGAGATTACACTCCAAAAGTTTCGAAAGCTCGGCTCGCTCAAAATGATGCGCTGTGGGCAGCGTTTAAGGGCTCGACTTGCGATCTGTTGTTTAGTGCTGAAGGTATTGGCGCTTCTGCAACTCAGGGTGTTGAAGGAGGTATGCTGATCTGTGAAAATCTGGAGGGAACTTTGGCCGAATTTGCTGCCCTGAGAGAAAACATTTTCGATTTTCAATTTGATCTTGTTGATGCTTTAGCAGGCGTTGTTCGTGGCGAGGTCGCTAAGAAGCTAGCGCAATCTATAACTGTATCAAATGACCTTCTGAGCGCAAGTCAGCTTATGCTGGGCTTTTTTATGGCACAATACCGTCTTCAATCGCATGCTGCCTTGTATTGTGATAAATTAGAGTATCTCAACCAAGGTAAGAAAATTGGCGAGTGCACATCGACTGGATTCTTTACGAAAAATATCTTAGACACTCTAATAGCCTACGACCCAATCTCAACATTTCACGAGGTTGAACGATTTGTCTACATACCAACTCGTCCTGAGAACAATTTCGATACAGGCTTTATAAATCTGCCTTCTCTGGCAAAAGGGAACCCCGTTACCTTCCGTATACCAGCGCGCCGATCATGGTTACTAAGATATAACTGGTTAGTTAGTGGAGAGAATTTAGCACCATTTGTCCAAAGCTTCAAGCTTTACCTTCCCCTTAAAGAATATAAAACAGGGAGCGCTAAAGAGCATTCAGGAACCCGTGTTGAACTGAAGTCTGTCGCAGGTAGCTCATTTACTGAAACAGGTGAAGTCGTGTACAATGTTCCTTTAGCGGACAGCAACTACGTTACAACGTACACTGAAGGATTTGATCGATGCCCGAATGGGAAAGAAATGTCCAATCCATACGGCTTATGCAACAATCTTCCCACCATCTGTGATACCAGTACCAGAGTGACGCCCAATCCTGAAACACTAATGCCAACTGTTCTATCAACATGGAAACTCACCTTCACCAAGAACTCAGGGGAACAAGTCTTGACATGGAACGCCCCAAATCCTGCCACCAATCTTCTAATCATTGGAAGAGTCAAACTTCGTTTCCTTCCCCAAGTCAAGAAAAGGCGCTTTATAGGGCGACTTAGAGATGAGCCAGCCGAAGGGTGTTGCTCTGGGAATACTTACCGCGCAGACTGGAGAAACAGAGCCTGTACGTCTTGCCCATCTCCCACAACATGCCCATTTCCCAAACCCACTTCATGCCCAACTGAATCAGTCATTAATTTAAGAGGATATTATTGTGAAAAAGGAAATGAGGATGTGGCAAAGGAACCTCCCAGCAGCTAGGAGTGCATGATCAAATAGAAGCTGTTTCAGAAAACAGTTCGAGTGATTAAGAATGGTGCAATCTCGCTCGCTTAAATATCTCATGAATGTTAATAATTGTTTACTTTTAGTTTTCAAGAATTAGAAAAAAGCGGTGACAAACTCTGCGCAAATACTGTTAAAATGATTCTTAGTGATACGAATTAAATCACCGATAAACGTTTGTTGCGTGATCTTCATCACTGAACCTATCAAATCTTCTATACTCAGAATTCCTTTGTCTGGGAGGGTAAAACGCCGAGACCATACGATATTTTCATAGCAAACAAAACTGACTTTGTCTCTGTGTATTTCGTTTATACAGCTGACTTTTTATCGGGATACCTGTTACCTTAACTGAATCTTTTCTATCTTCTGGTGTAAATTTTAATTTTAACTGAAACGCCACTGAACGCCGTGACAAAAATGCCGTGTTGTGACTTGTGGGGTTTGTTCTCTTTGGCAGTACGAAAGGATCATGACAGCAGTCCAAATGTTTCTGTGGATACGGCATGCAAGACTGTAGGGCATATGCCAAAGTATAATCTTTGGATATGAATTTTTGCATATATTTGACTCTTGGAAACCAGTAGAGTAAGCAATCAAAGAAAGCTGTGAATGAGTCGTAGATACGTTAAGTTTGAATGAGTTTTGAAGATAATGAAATTCCTTTTTTACGAAAATATACTCTCTTACATATAAAGATGGGCAGCCAATGGGTAACTCTCAAAGAGTTGAAACTGCTTGGAATTTCTTGAACTGCTGGGGTGGTGTTGGGTGAATAGCGGCTATCGGTCAAAACAAAATTCAGACTACAGACCACAGATCGAGCGCAAAATACAGTCTAGGAAGAAAATTGAAACTGCAGACTGCAGACTGGGATACAAAATGCAGAATGAGAATTTTAACAACTGTATCTTCGTCCTATACATGATAACATGTCATCCTACAATTTACCAAGTATCACGCAATCGCTTTCCGCGATCATACTTCACAATCTTTTGGTGATAGGTTCCCTCATAAGTTCGATCAAAGTTTCGCTTAAGGTTTTTTAGCTCTATTATATGTCCCTTGAAGCGTTAGTTGATACAGTTAGGTTCGTATATCAAGTTACATTGACATAGTAAAATGTTGATTACACGTACCTTGAGATCATGGAGAAAGTTTGACTTCCCACTGTGAATAAACAGAACTTGCCGAAGCACTCGTATGCAATTTAATAACTTATATATGTCCCAGTTTATCCACCCTAGCCTTTTCGAAAAGCCTATTGAAAATAAATGTAACATGAAGAAAATCCGGAAAAAAAGGACGACATCATGAACTTGGAAACTTAGTGAACTACATAATAATACGTGAAAGAATAATGTCCTGAGATCTCAAGTGTTTTTTCTTATCCCACTTTACTACCAAGGCGTAAGGTGAAAAACCCTGGTTTGACTAACTTTGTTTAGGGAAGAATGCTACAAGGCAGGTTGTTTATTATTATCAGTTAATAATGTGCTATAATGCGTTCAAATTAGACACATTCGCGTAAAAACCGAGGTAGGATTAAACCATTTTCAAAGTTCTTCAAACATTTTACATATTTGAGTGATCTTGCTGATGCCCTAGCAGGCGTCGTTCGTGGCAAAGTCGCCAAGAAGCTACTCCAATCTATAACTGTATCAAATGACCTTAGCGCAAGTCAGCTTATGCTGGGCTTTTTTATGGCACGATACTGTCTTCAATCGTATGCTGCCTTGTACTGCAATAAGTTGGAGTACCTCAGCCAGGGCAACAAAATCAGCGCGTTTTCATTGACTGAGTTCTTCACCAAACATACCTTAGACAATCTAATTGCCTACAAATCAATCACAACGTTCCATGAGGTTGAAAGATTTGTATACATACCAACTCGTCCTGAGATCCATTTCGATTTTGGTTTTATTAATCTGCCATCCTTGGCAAAAGGGAACCGTGTTACCTTCCGTATACCTGCGCGGCGATCGTGGTTACGCAAATACAACTGGTTGGCGAATGGAGAGAGTTTGGCACCATTTGTGCGAAGTTTCAAGTGGTACCTTCCTCTTAAAGAATATAAAACGTGGAGTGACAAAGAATATTCACGAACCGTGTTGTTCTGAATTCTGTGGCGGGCAGCTCATTCACTGAGAAAGATGAAGTCGTATACAACTTACCGTTGGCGGACAGCAACTGAACTATGTTACAACTGAAGGATTTCATCGATGCCCGAAGGGTAAAGAAATGTCCAATCCCTACAGTCTTTGCAAGAATTTGGATGTTGCACTGGGAATTCTTACCGCTCAGATTGGAGGAACAGAGCCTGTACGTCTTGCCCATCTCCCACATCATGCCCATTTCCCAAACGTACTTCATGCCCAACTAAATCAGTCATGAATTTGGGAGGATATTATCATCAAAAAGGAAATGAAGATGTAGCAAAGAAACTTTCGAGTAGCTCAGAGACTCATGATTGAACAAACACTGCTTTAGGAAACGATGTGATTGACTAAGAATGCTGTGATCTTATTTGCTTAAACATTGCAAGAATGATTTTAAAAACGCTTCGATTTAAATCGTTCAGTATTTAGTAAATACCATTATCGTAAGTCTGCTTAGTGTTTTGTGAAATGCTTTCTTGATGTCTTTGTAATAGTTCTTAGTAATTAAAATTAAAGAGTAATGAATATTTGAATCATGCGATTTCATCATTTCAATCAACCCGCATCAAACCTTTTCTCAGCGCTCTGCTGTCAAAGACACTAACACTGAACGCCGCAAGAAATGAGTAAATAGATATATGCACGTAGGACAAGATAACCAAACTCAAGAACTCTTTCCCTATTTTCACGGCGAAAATGAGAACTATGTCTTGCTTTGTGTTCAAACTTTTATTCTGAGACTTGTTTTCGTCACTTACATATTTCATCTATCATTTCCAATTGTGATGCCTTTTAAATCCCGATTTAGTTCTGTTTGGCTCTTAAAGAAATATCTCTTTCATAGCCCAGATGGCTAATTTCTAAGTGTAGGACAGGCAGGGAGTTTTGCATGATATTTTCCAAGTGATAGTCTCTGTCCCTAAAAGTTGGA